ATATATATATATATATATATATATATATATATATCTGCATGCATGCATGCTAATAGGAGGCTAATGAAGCCCTTAACAACTGTCTACAGTGTACGCGCATGCAGAAAAGTCGGCTTAGCTTCGGCATGCATGAAGGTGGGGCTGCCTTGTAGCACTAATTACAAGGCACGGTGCAGCACATGAATGGCTTCCTCCTCTGCTTGCTTTTCCCAGGTCCTTGCAAAGCAAAGACCTGGTAGCTGCTGCAGCAGCGGCGGCCGCAGCTGCAGCAGCAGCTACTGTGCTGCTGCTGCAGGAGCAACAGCAGCAGGTGCTCCAGCAGCCGCCTTTCCGCAATCTCCAAGATTCCTTCAGGCTTTATGGGATGTAAGCTGCTCTATTGGAGCTTTTATATGGTGCTTATTGGCTTTATCGCAGCTCTCAACGGGGGCAATGCAGACACAAAGAGATTCTTCTGCCTTAGCCGTGAGGCTTCAAACCCTCCACAGCGCTCACTCCCCAAGCAGCACTTTTCATTGTTCCCATCGTTAATCAACAAGGAATGAGTGCTCTGAAGGAGCACTTATTCCTCTGAAGGAGGAGGAGAAGGTGATGGTGGCGGCAGCTGCCCCGTATCTCTGTAGCTGGCCTATGCAGCCGTATGATAACTGTCTATTAAGGGGCTGTACGCTCGGCGCCCCGCCTCTTTAAGGCGATTCATTGACTATGAAATCCATTGAGATATCCTTTAATAGGTATCTAAAAAGTTTGCAAGAGTCTAAGTTTAAAAGTATTATTATTAGGCTTTCCCGCCAGACATAACGAGCAAGTGACGGAGTAGGGAACCCATCCTGAATACAGTTGTGCTGGCTTCTTCAATGCATGCAATAATATCGGTGTTGTGCATTTCTCGCAAAACCTTCATACGAAGAGATGCTGAAAGAGATATTTAGAGTACTTCATACCTCACTAAAACTAAGCAGCACGCTGCTATGCGTGGGGCTTGCAGCTTGCGCTTGGCTAACAATCACCATGCGGTGCTACCAATAATAATGAAAGTCTTCTATCTTAGCTTAGAGTTGTCCTGAGCTGCAACTGAGTTAAATAATTAAAAGGAAGTTCTTTTAAAAATCAGGGCGCCCTGCCACCATGCTTCTGGTGCCCTAGAGGTCTCGACATAAGTAAGTCATTATCATGAGTTGCAGCACACCTTTATTATAATTTGTTGT